TCAGACAAGAAGCACGCCCAGATGAACGAATTCTACTTTATTGTAAGGTTACCTTAACAGAATCTTGCAAGTCTGAAAGTGCCTCTCTCTCCCCTTGCCTTTACAGTCCGAGAAACTAGGGACGGTCCCTTCTGAGACGTTTGCCACACCCACATTCCTCCTGCGGGCTCAGCTGCCGTTTATCTGACTGTTCTCCTGGCTGCGGCTCTTCCTGCTTTCTCCCAAAGTCATTCCCACATACCATTACAGTTGGCGAGTTCATATATGCACAACATCTACAAATCAGATAGCCTCCCTCTGCTTTCAATTTCTGAAAGGGGGTGTAGTCATTACCATCAAATGGCAGTAGAGGGCAAACTTGCCAAGGAAATTAACTTCGTCTGCTAAGCGGCTATGCTGGTGAATTGTTTTGTATCTTAACTTCTTCCTATCTGTCTTCCACCAGAGAGAGCAATAAGCTTGTATTTTTTTCACTCTTCACAAGATCACCTTTAGTTCTTGTTTTCTTCCTAGCAGTTTTCCTACATCTGGTTTAGAGCCCAGAGCTGAAGCTTCCATGCTTGTTCTTTTAAGGGATCTTGCTAGATTGAGTAGCGCTCAGGAAGATGGATCCCTGAAGGACTTTGATCAACAGGGTTCTCAGGCTGGTTTTATGCATCTGTCATAGTGTGGTGGGCTTGGCTTGTGTATCATGTGAACCTAATCAATTGTGGTTTAGTCTACAAACCACAGTCTGGCAATCCATGGTTAAGCAGCAATGCATGAAACAGGTTGGAGAAAGCCTTTCCTTGCATCTGGAGCCATGTCAGACAGGACAGAAGCTTGCATTCTGCTAAGTCATTTGTGGACTAGACCACAATGGCTGAGTCCCCACATTGCATGAAGCCAGAGTCTGTTTTCTCAAATGCAGTGGCTCATACAGCACATCTCGTGCAGAATATTTCTCCTTCCCGTTGCTCATCTGCTCAGCCACTGCAGAAGCAGAACTGAATTTGGGCTGAACTAGGAAGGCTTTCTGCCAACTCTTCTACAAGAGATTGTAAGGTTCTCGGCTACCCAGAAAACTTGAAATCAATCAACAACACTAAATAAGAGACTTCAAGCAGGGACTTCTCT